CACACACACACACACACTCACACACACACACACACACACACACACACACACTCACATACACACACACTTATACACACACACACACACACACACACACACTCATATACACACACTCACACAAACACACACACACACACTCATATACACACACACTTATACAAACACACACACACACACTCATACAAACACACACACACTTATACACACACTCACACAAACACACACTCATATACATACACACACATATATACACACACTCATACAAACACACACACATACACACTCACACAAACACACACACACACGTTTTTGTGAATTGTGGGGACATTCCATAGGCGTAATCCAGGCAGTGTGTGTAAAGACTGTATTTCTGCGTTGTTGGAGTTTGTATTGGCTCAGTGATTTCTGAGCGTTTACTGAGCCCGGTGATTGTGAACAAACGCGCTAATATTGACAAATACTTTCAACGCGTCTGCAATCCTCCACTTTCCCTCTCCTGGATTCTGCCTGACAAAACACCTTTTTTTATCACAAAATGATTCTTTTTAAATGGACAGATCTTTACAAATGATTTTCTAAAAACGTCTAATCCCAATAAAATGGTGTTGTAGGAAAATGCAACTCTTTTGGCTGCTCTTTTCTTTCTGTGTAAGTGTGTGTGGGTGGAGATGATCGATCGGCTGTGTTCTGGCCCGTCGTCTTCACAGGAATAATGTGTTTTGAGTCAGGGGATTATTCAGGAACGTGCATTTAAAAATACATCTCGGCGTAATATGACAGCTGCTGCTAATCAGTGGATTAAAGTGAGCGTTAAAACACAGCGTGTGGAGTGTCCAGGTCAAATCAAAGCCCAAACTCACAAGAAAGACTAAGAAGAACTTATTATTTTTAATGTAACCTATTTTTAGCATTATGACACTTTATTAAGCATATTTACTGATGTTTTAAACATATTTATACCAGTGTTATTTTAGTATTGATATACTATTAGTTTTAGGCAGTTTAAATATATATATGTATATATATAGTTTTTTAGTTGTAAATAAAACCGATTGTTCGAGTCTTTCTACTTAAAAATTTCACATTTAATTCAATGGGTTACTTGCTGGGGTTTTTTTGTAATTGTGAAACTTACTAGCAATTTATTAGTAAAAATAGTTTCTGCACAAATTTTTTTTCAGTGTAGTTAATATTTTGAATAGAATTCTATTTTTATATTTTCTATACAATTCTATTAGTTTTAGTTAAAGTTTTGGTCGTTTTGTTGTGTGCGTCTGTCATTTTTATTAGTTTGATTTTTAATATGTCTCTATAGTATTAAATCTATTCAAATCTATTTATTAAATATTTCAATAGATTTTTTGTGAGTTTTTTTATGTCTATAGTATTTATTAAATCTGTTAAAATCTATTTATTAATATTAGTTATTTTAATATACTGAAAAAAATGTAATTATTGTTAAAAAATTAAGTTATTAAATTAACTAAACTCGGAAATTGCTTGTAAATGTCACAAATAATTACAAGGAAGTGTCAAGTAACACTGAATAAAACATTATATTTAAAAGTAAAAAAAAAAAAAAAAAGAATTCGTATTTTCTTGTAAAACATACTCCAAAAATCTGTTTCATTTACAGCCTGTAAAAATATTTGTTTACAGTATTTTTCACCATAAAATAAGAAATGTTTCCTTGTCAACAACAGTAGCTGAAATAAAACATTTTGTTTATATTTTAATTCCGTAATGTTTTTGTTTTATTTCAAGTAATGAACATTTTTAATGGTATTAATTTTTTAAGTTTTAGTTGATGATAATAACCCTGATTTCCACGCATAATCTCTTAATAAATGCTTTATCCCTATGTTAACCCTTGATTAATTGCTGTAATGTGAATAGAAAATATTTATTTAAATTGTAGAATATACATCATGGCAAAAAGTCTTAATGGCCTTAAAAAGGGTAGTTTTTATTTATTTTAAAATGTAATTTCTTAGGTTTTTTTTGGGTGGGATTTGAGTTTTTCAATCAGATGTTATTGCTTTCTCTCATTCTGTGTGTGCCAGACAGTGAAATCCCAGCGGGTGCTGAAGCAGCTCATGATGAGTGAATCCCGGTGTGTTTGTGTCGCGGGTTCAGGAGTCTCTTGCATCCGTCGGCGGTGTGTGTTTGTGTCGGAATCTCAGGGATGAGCTGACATGATCGGGAATCTCTCTCTCCTCCTCCTGCAGGCACAGACAGCTGTTAATTTGTGAATAAATCAGCGGCGTTCAGCGAGGGATGGATAAACGACAGTGCCTGCAATTAATTGCGCTCGTTTATTTGGAGTGGCACGTCGGTGTCTGAACGTGTCATAATTAAAGCCCTGCAGGACCGTGATGTGGCGTTACGGAGTCGATGACTTAAGTGGCGTTTTAGAGTCCCATTTAAACTCCAAACAATGGCT